AAAAAAAAAAAAAAAAAAAAGAGAAGGAAGGAGGACATCTGGGTGTCCAGTCTGCTTTTTCTTCATACCCAAAGGTCAGGTTTGCAAATTGCTCAGACAGCATGAAAACTGAAACAGGGAGACTGGGAAGAGATGGGTGCTATTCTTTTTCCTTTCTACAGAGAATACAGACAAGGGGAGTTTTTGTTATTGCAAGAACTGCTTTAATTCAGAGAAGGTGGGACATTCATTGATGATTTTGGCTTTCTTCTATTTGTTGATAAGAAAGAGAACTGGCTGGCTCCTGATAATCTCTGCCTGTTCTCAGAATTCTGAAGTCTCCAGGAGTGAAAGCAATCAAAACAAAACATGTGAAAACATTCTGAGGAGACTGAAAAATGGAAACTGCACTACGTGGAAGTTCTCCTAGAGAGTGTTGAGCATCAGGATCCATCACTGGGGGGAAAAATGATCCCCTTTCAGTCAGCTCAGCCCTGTCAACTTCATTTACCATATGGCCATTGCAAAAACACATGATTGTTGACAGCCTCAAACCACGACTCTTGTAAGCAAGAATTTAGTTTAGTTCTTCAGGAAATGTTTTTACTAACCAGACAGCAAATGAAATTACTGCTGCTTTTTAAAGCAACTTTCTTCGACATTGTGTTCCCTAGATGTGCCAATCTAGTATTCCCACACTTGTTAACTAGCAAAACTGGACTTGTTTTCTAGGAAATATCAGAGTGGAAAACTGTTTCAAGGACATTGTGTGCTAGACCTGAAAGCAAATATCTCAGCAGAAGACCAGCAGTTTTCACTGAGTCATTGTACCGGTATAGTTTAAGATAGGAAAAACCATTCTGTAAATTGCAATCTGTAAGCCCTATCTTGTTCTGCTTCCATAAAAGTAATGGCTACATGCCTTGTCTAATATTAAATCAAAAGCAAGTTGCATCTGGATGCCAATTACTAGAAAACACAAGCATGAGAAGGCTATGGCCCTTGTGTTCTCCTGTACGCATTGTATCTGGCTCTGCATCTGGGAACACAATATTGGGTTACATAGGCTCATCAGGCACATTATAAGAGGCGGGAGACAAAATGAGAAAACATACTTTTCCCCTAACAAAGTTCTGGACGATGCTTGAAGTAGAATGATGGTCAGCCAATCAGTTCACCCTCTAAGTCTGGCTTCTATTTATCTGTTATCTGTTTACCAGTCGGTCCTTACCTTCATACATATGTCCCCATCCTGCAATCTGGCAGTGTTCACTGCTATCAGCTGCCTCGAAGGAACCAGGCAGACATATAGGTGAAATAGAGTTTGAAAATTCAATACAACGTCCTGGGGACTTTTCCTTCAGTTGCACCAGAGCTGGGGATAACAGGCCAAAACTGAATTAGGGCTCAAATATGAGGGTTTCAGGAAGCAGGCAGACTGAATGAAAGAGAAAAAAAGGCTGGTATTGCTCCTGAAGGCATGGAGACTTAGACTGAAATAAGATCCCTCCCTCAAGAAGCATATGACGAGTTCTGCCAAAAGCCAGCATTATTTTTTTGCTGCAGCATGCTAGAGCTACATTGCATGGATTAGGGTCTAACAATAAAACTGTGCCACTCTAGTCAGACCCGGCTATCATGGGCAATCCAATTCCACCGATTCCTCCCCCATCCATTAGGAGGTTGAATTGCTTCTGAAATTGCTTGCCCTTGATGGAAACTGAGATATACAATGGACACCTTGTGGAAAATCTAAGATGAACTAGGCATACTTTTTACTGAGTCTGGGAGACACTGGAAGCTAGGCGATATTCATTTACAAAGCTGGAGAGAATGGATGGAATAGATATTTGTAACTCTTGAGGGCTGGATTTAAAAGAAGAGGTCCTCACCAATATCATGCTCCTTAGTTATTTGTGAATAATTTGCATGCACTTGATACTTCTGTACCTGGGACTTCACAATGCCTTCAGTGCTGGTGTTGTAGAAGATCTGGCCAAGCACCACTGAAATTCTAGACACATCTGGCCTATAGTACAAAATGTATGATCAGCAGATTTTTTTGAAGTGAGGACTAGATTCTCTAAAGGAGCTTTAATAATGCACCTTCAGATGTGTTAATTAGAAACCCCACGATTCCAACATCTTGGAAAACTTCTCTGGAGCAGAAGTAGACAAGTCTTTTGAGGCAGGGGACAAGAGGCAGGGCCAAAGCTAGAAGTGGGGGCAGAGATTCCTTTTAATCTCTCCACCCAAAGTAGCAGACTATGAAGAAAGGAAAAGATCAGTAATGCCAAAGATCTCAAATGAATGCTTCAAGGGCTTTTGAATTAGACTAATGGCCTCATCTACTTAGGCCCAAGGGGCAGGGACACTCAGCTACTTTTGTTTACACAACAGTAATCCAATGCTTAGATAACTGTCATATGTTAAATGCGAGGGTTGTCCTTCCAGTTGATCAGGAACTTGCAGCTAAGGTAGAATGTGGTAGCTAGGTTTTGAATAGGGCATCTGGCTGTGCAGGAGTTACACTACAGCTAAAATAAATTCATGGCTGCCTGTTAGCTATTGAATCAGGTAGATCCTAAACAACTTGGAATTAGGACAGCTTCTGGCAGTCTATCTTTGCTATTACAGCACAGGCCTGGTTAGTCACCAAGATCACGGGTGTCGAACTTGCAACCTCACGTGAAGTGTCGCCATGTATCGCAACTTTTTTGCCATTTTTGCAATGGGGTGGGCATGTTTTTGCTATGATGCATCCGGCCCGCGGGCCGGCAGTTTGACACCCCTGACCAAGATCATCAGTAAGATCCTGCTGAAATTCCAAAATTCCTAACAGGTGAGTAATAGCATGGAAAAAACACTGAGACTTGCCTGAATTCCAGACAATGTGCAGCAGTCAGGATCCAGCAGGAATCAATGAGGCTTCCTCCACAGAACTGCTCTCCAATGTAGAGAGCAGCAAGATAGGGATGGGCGCCAGGAAGTGCCACCATACCCCCGACGATACGGCTGCGTGAGGAAATGACTTTTGTATAGCGCTGTCCACAAACTGGTGCTGAGCCAGGGGGAGACCTGGGTTTGCTATCCGCGTGGCTCATGGTCGTCTCCTTCAGAGGTGGTGCTTCTGTCACTTTTGGTATCGGTTCACCTGTGCGAAAAACCGTCTGACTCATTCACTTCTGCGGTTCAACCATACTCAGCTCTTTTCAGAGAAGATGATTTGCCTTACCAGCAGTTTGGGGATGACAGCGGGTAATGTTGCAGTATTCCCAAGTGATTCGTCTGTCTTGTAGCAAGAAACACCATGGTTGGGTGTCGTTATCTGGATTTCTGCCCAAAGAAAATGTTTAGGATTTTTCAAGTTAGACTAATATTTCATTACAATATAGCTTTCCCTCTCTTAACAGTTTCAATGTTCTTTAATCTGTTCCACTGCTTAGGAACATCCCTGGATATTTGCTTTCTCTTATATTTATTTATTTACTTTTTATTATTATTTTTTAATAAAATTTAGCGACTGCCCATCTTACCACAAGGTAACTCTGGGCGGCTTACAATACATTGTCTCTCTCTTTGATTCTCATTAAATGGATCTACTTTCCCCATTTGTACCTCTTAACTACCACATATAAACCATGTCCTGTCACTGTCCTTTTTTTCTTGTGCTCCAGTGAGGTTGCCTTCAACTGATCTCCATTTCATTGATGAGACTGACTTAGGCCATCCTTAGCTGACATACTTCTAGAGCAGGGGTAGTCAACCTTGGCTCTTTTATGACTCGTGGACTTCAACTCCCAGAATGCTGGCTCAGGAATTCTGGGAGTTGAAGTCCACGAGTCATAAAAGAGCCAAGGTTGACTACCCCTGCCCTAGAAGTATTTCCCTCCTTATTCTGACAGGATGGCGTCAAAGTATGTACACTCTGTTCGGGCTGGTCACACTTAGAGGGTAGTGAAGTGGGCGCAGCAACTTGAAACAGAACCAAAAGAAGATTGGCACTGGGGCAATACTTTTTTATGACAACTCAAGGGTAAGTGGATAGTCCTTCAACTCACCAGTGGGGAAAGGTCCACACTAAAACTTTGTCTCACCTGCAGAAGGCATGTTCCCCTAGGCCCAGGCTTACTGCATTCCTGAGTTTGAAGGAATACTCCATAAGCAGGATTGGAGAGTCCCAGGGCAGGCAAGGTGCCCCGGAGGAACTCCTCTGAGCCATGCCTCGGTATAGGTGCCCATTCTCACTGTAGCAGATTTCAGTGTGATCTAGGGCATGAAGAGATCAGAGATGGATTGTAAAATGTTGAAGAAAAATGTTAGGAATCTGACTCCTTACCCTGACGTCAGAATGCTCTCAGTCTTTTGGGTCACATAAAGGAGGCAGCTCAAAATATTTTGTTACTTGAGAGAGGGGCACTCACAGGGAGAGCTCAAAAACAGATGGTAGCCAAGATTGTGATCTTGATTTTCTTAATAACCCCTCCCCACAATGTCCCTGGCTTGAAGTGATGACCCACATATAGAGATTGACTAGCAGTTGAATTAGCAAGTAGGTACTATCCGATCAGGAATATGGAACAAATAGCTCTGTTTTCTTCCTTGCCAACATTTTATACTACGAACTGCCAGCCTTTGAGGCAATCATTCTGCTGCCTGCTAATAGCACTAGGGCTTGATTTTGGTGTTCTTTGAAACAGCTTTTCAGCAAGTGGATGCTAATGCTGGGCCCATGGAATAAAGTTGGCCCTTTAGAAAGTTTTTATTGCATAGATCATCCTAATCAGTTCTCTCCCTCTTCTTTTCCAATTAATGAACACAACATGCTTTTGTAACTCACAACCCACAACTCAGATTCAAAGTTTCTTTGACTTTATCATACTTCCAGCAGTGGGAGCCCATCTGTCCATAACATCAGCCTAGGAAACTATAAAATATAATTGCAATGACTGAGTATTATATCCAGAATCCAAAACCAAGACAGAAATATTAAAAAAAAATTCTCTCAGTGGGCTCATAATTTCACCTTTGTTATTTTATTTTATTTTATGCTGCCATATGACATATCTGCCAATGTTTTGCCTTAGTGCTGTGAAGATGGATATATGAAAAATAAGACTGTAAACATACCTATGTCACACAGTGGTCCAGAAAACTTTTCAGGGCAGCTACAGACCAAGTTCTGGCCCAGCTGTACGCACTGACCTCCATTCAGACAGGGGTTGCTTCTGCATGCTGTGGATCCCAATAGAGAAAGATATAGAAGAAGCTGTCATGCCAGCTCAAGCAATGGTGGGCTCACATTTGGTAGCTTGCGCTGACTTAGCACCTGGATCTCCAACAAGCCCACATTCCTTGATGCCTTCCAGGGTCCCTGCCACTCCTGATTTGATTTACCATTTTATTTCATTACTTTTTCTTTTATATATGTTTTATATTAAAATAAAATGTTATTTTAAAAACTGGGGGAAACTAGTGTAGGAAGTCAGCACCACCCCCAGAAAAGAAAATATTTTGGGGGATATTAAAAAAACCCAGAATATTATATTTCCCCAAAGGAATAATAGAAAATCTTAGGCAGAAACCTTTCCCCCCCCTCAAGTCTCTCTGCCCCAAGCAGAAACCATCTTTTAGAAATGCAGATTTGGTGATTCATTCAGGAAGATTGCGGCCAGAAAGCTTGGAGCTGATGGGATTAGAAAGACAAAGACCCCTAAAATCTACATCCCCCACCCAAAATCTAAAGACATGACCTTTAGGACATAATAGGATTAACCCATCACCATTAGAATACCAAAAGGGCATACTGAATCAAAGTTCATTGCACAGGAACAGGAACAACCTCAAACAGGAACAACTCCAATCACAAAGCCCAAAGGAGGTATAAAAACCCACCCACTCCCAGCTCCATTTTGTCAGCCACCCCAGAAACATGCTGCTGTCACTGCAGTTTCTGGCAACTAAATAAACCGAACCTTCTTTCCTAAGCAGTCTCCATTTTGTTTATTCCCGGCTTGACTGGACCCTGATGAAGATTTTTAGTATTGTAGAGCAAGACAACACTCTGTACTTCCAATATGTCTTTGGTCCACTTAGACATTCAGAGGCTTTCTTACAAAATTAATTAATGGGTGGCTTGTTCTCATGCTGCCCACTTGCCCAGGAAAAAAAAAGACAAAATTAAGCTGAGGTGGTAGAGAACCTCCAGGAGAGCATACTTATTTTGAGGCTTAATTTGTTATGCAAACCCAGCCTGTTTGGCTATTTAAAGCTCTATATTTTTTCTTCCTAGCATTTTTCCTGCAGGTGCAGAGTTTATTTCTTTAGATCAACCAAATGTCTGTTAGTTGCAACAGGAATTGACTGACCAGCTTGTTGCCCAAGCTGACATCATGGGCTGAGAGAGAGAGAGAGAGAGAGAGAGAGAGAGAGAGAGACTGGCTCAAAGTCACCTAGCTGGCTTTCATGCTGAAGGCGAACACACAGTCTCCTAGTTTCTAGCCTGGAGCCTTAACCACTAGACCAAACTGGCTCTCACAATTCAATATATTGTATAAACCGAGAAAATCAGTTTATTCAATAATGTTGTGCAAACATGATCTATAAATAGCATTACTGTAATACTGGGGCCTAAGTACACATTGCACACAGATGCACATAGCAAAATTGCAGCAGTCTTTTAAAGTGTGCAGCTGTTGTAAAAAAAAAAGTGCAGATTCCATGCTTGAGGTATTACAAAGGGATTCAAACATACAGCTGCCAGTAGAACTGTGCCCTAAAGGAAATATATAGTGAGACCACACTTGGAGCGCAGTCCCTACCCCTTAAAGGTTGTATCATGGAATTAGAAAAGATGCAAAACTGGGCAATCAAAACAAGTAGGAGGCTGGAGCAGCTCCCTTCTGAGGAAGGATTCAGCACACAGGGCTCTTTACTGTAGCTTGGAATGAAAGAGAACAAGGAGAGACGTGGTATGCTAAGTAAACTCATGCCTGACAGAGATCATATGGCAAGAGAAAAGGTTATCACCCTCTCTTGTCAAAGTTATTCAAGAATGGCAGAAGGAAATATTTTATATAGCACAGTTAAGCTGTACGGAATTTAATGCCAGAATTTATTGCCAACAATGGGATTCAACAGCTTTGTGGAACATCAGCTTCTAAATGGTCACTGTCACTGGTGGCTGTTTACTTCCTTCTGGATCATGGGCAGTAGGAGGCCTTAAATGTGGGTGCTGGGAAGTAAAAGGGGAAGGGGACTATCACCACCCAATCCAGGCTGGTGAGCATCCCAAATGCATCCAAGTGGCTACTGTGTGGCATAGTATGCTGGACTAGAAGGAACTGTAGCCTGATCCGGCAGGATGACTTTTACATGAGTTTCTCATTAATGAATTTAAAGAAAAAGATTTTTTTCAAGAAGAGACACTTAGGATGGGAAGTGATGGTAGGTATTGAAAGGAGTAAGAACATTCTCACAGAAACATATCCAGATCAATGAAGCCCAAAATATTTTTTCTTCAAAATAGCCTCTGGATTTTTTTGAAAGAAACACTCACATGATAGAGCAATGACTTCTATTATAATAGCATATACCTGTACTTTTCAATCTTGGCAACTTTAAGGCAGGTGAACTTCAACTCCTATAATTGCTGGCTGAGTAATACTGAGAGTTGAAGTCTACCTGTCTTGAGAAATACTGATATATACTATTATAATAGAAGTCATTGCTCTATCACAGGGGTGTCAAACTCTCAACGTCATGTGACATGTCTCAACGTATTGTGACTTTTTTGCCATTGCCAGCAATGGGGTGGGCGCGGTTTCACCATGATGTATCCAGCCTGTGGGCTGGCAGTTTGACACCCCTGCTTTATCATGTGTGTGTATATATATAGTCCACCTTCCCTTAAACTCTTACAGCAATCTGATACAAATATTATATTATATGACAGAGGCCCCTAGCCTTTTGAGCATCGAGGACCTGTGCTGTGGAGAAAGGTTTTTCCGTGGACCAGAGGGGACGTGATTTCACATGCTGCCTGCATCACACAAATGGGGCTTTGCTTGTTTGTGCAGACTGGTTGCTGCATGCTGCTGACTGGTGCCGGTCCATGGACCGGGGGTTGGGGACCCCTGTTATATGATGTCCTCATGTATGATGTCCTCATGTATGAGGCTTCCTGCATGGATCTTTTTGTCATTTACACAGTATATCCTGTGTGGAATTTTCAGTTAAATTGATCACCAGGAAGCACCACATGATCAGTTTCACCCTTTATTGGAACTCATCAGATATGGGTAGAATAACATCTGGCTACGCATGTCTGACAAGTTCCAATAATAGACAAAACTGGTCACAGGATGCCTTCTACTTGATACATTAAAAAGGTAGAGTTCCTCAGATCAAGCTTGATTTCTGGGACTAATTTTAGTTGGAAATTTGATCTTTTTTCAATTTCCCAATCTAGACAATAGCCCTAGGGTTGCTTACTGGTCTTCCGTTCAAATAATAACTAGGCCTAATCCTGCTTAATCTTTTGAGATCATCCAAAGTCAGTTAGATGCTGCCAGCTACTGTTAACATTATTATTTTTGATATTGCCTACTATATGAAAGTAACTCTTACTTCATTAGAGTCTTCAAGTGGTCCTACTTCATTAGAAACTGAAGCTTAGACTTTGGGCAACATGCAGTTGAGAAATTTGTCTCTTTTGTTTCAACATAATTGGTTTATATCTTGCATCTGCCACTTCTGACCTTTTCCATGCACCGTCTTGCAGAGAATCTTCTTTCTGCTACAGTGACACTCCTTCAATCCAGTAGAGGGAAAATATTGCAGCCATGTTTCCTTTTTGCCCATATGCAACCATCTTTGTGATCCAAAGCAGCCTTCTGTAAAGTCAAGCCAAGGGGTGAGACTGGACTCTGCTCATACTAATCTTCAGCAATACTGCCTGATTATCAAAGAGGTTTACAAAAACATCCCATCCCTCCCCACCCTACGATTCAGAGGAAGCCTATAGCCTCATTAGAATATAGAAGAGTTTCAAAGTTGACTGGCTTCTTAAAACCCCATTCCTATATAATAAAAATCTTTCTCTTTTCTTTTGGATCCTCTATGCTGCCAGGAAGAAAAATATGATACTATGAAATCCAGGAGTCCTTCTAAGAGGGAGTTATGGCTGTTAGTCAATCAATTTGAAATGCCATTGGCTTCTATGGGTGCAGCAAGGAAAAGCATGTTCTTATATATATATATAATATTTTATTAGTTTTCTAATTTTACAATTAAGTATTTAAAAAGCAACGTGGTGACTGGGTTAATCAATAATTCAATAACATACATAAATCTTTAGTACAAATCTCAAGTTACAACATCAGATATTTCCTCTCTTTTTCCCTTAATATCTACTATCTCATATTAGGCTAATATAGTTCTTATTATTATCAACTAAGTAAAAACATCATTGTTACATTTATCAATAATTTTTAGCTTATACATATCTTAATTGTGTTTACATTCAATCCTTATATACAATCAATGTCCTGTTATTGCTTTTTTCCCAAGCTTTAATTTCCCATCAATATTCAAATTAACATTTGGTATTTATAATTTCCAAGCTTTAGGTAACCAAAGTTTCCCTTATCTCAACTTCTTCCTTTTTCCCTTTTCATAACAAAATCCAATATTCTAAATACACATCTTATCTATTTGCATATAGTCTTGTTCTGTTTTCTAAAAGTTATCTATTTTCCACCATATTAAACCAAAAGTCTATTAGTTTTGTTACACATCTTGCCTATTCAATTATAATATTACTTTATTTTCTAAAACTTATCTATTTTCCACCATATTCAACCTTCTAATTAGTAATTTGAAATCCCCTCTAATAAATCAAAATCCTAGTTTTCTTCAGCCTTACTCTGGCTTTCTTCCTTTGCCAACTAACCTTCCACGTCAGTACTTTTGAATCATCAAATAGTTCTCCCTCTATTATTATATATATTATTTTAAATAAGAAAGACCATTTGGTTGCAGGTTTTTTTTGGGAAGAACTAGCCCACTTGTATTCATTAGATCACCTCCCTATTACTCCAATTTCCCACAATTCTCCTGATAGGTTTATCTTCCATTCAATCTGTTCTTCTTCCTATACCTAACAGGAAGGGGACAGTACTATAACTCCAGAATCATACCTTTCTCACAGCGTCTTCCATGGAAACCAGCTGTGCAGGTACAATGGAATCCAATCTTCCTAGCTTCACAGGCACCCCCATTCTGGCAGGGGTTAGGATCACAGTGCCCTGAAAAGAGATGACTATAGACTATCATCCTTGGATAGATACAGCTGATATTTGACTGTGTAAAAACCACAGTAAAGCATGGGGCTAAAATTTGACACTGTGGATTGCAGCCATATCAGAAATATGGTTTCATGTAAGATACATTCACAGGGAATGTTGCCCCTGAAAAAAAATCCTTTGTTTGGGCCATAATACGGAGGCTTAAAAAAAATAAATAAACACCACTGACTCACCTGTTGGCCTTTCCTCTTTCCGACAAAGCTTCCATTGTTGGTCTTGGTCGTAGTTTTCTGTGGTGGCGCACCTGATAGGGAAGAGTCTCGTCTCATGCAAGGTGTGCAGGGAAGATGGGCCAATGCCATAATTTGCACATTAATTTTTTTCCAAGGTCAATCAAGCCTCAAACTGTCCTCTTCTCTGCCCCCTGCATGCCCCAAGGTTCTCATTATTCCTGTGAGCATTCAATGCTTTTCTAGCCAATCAATACTTACCAGTGCTGAGATTTAAGAAAGGCGTCAGGGAGACAGGAGTAGTGCATTTTGCGTCGGTAACGGAAAGGGAAATGGCAGGATTCCTCACTGGATGATGTCACTACAAAGCAAAAGGAGATGGGTCTATTTCTAGTGCAAAAAAGCTTCTCTGTAGTTCTCCTATTGTAACTAGTGACCTGGCAGGGCTATTTAGCTTCCCTTCATATTTATGTACCCTTTGATTATAACAGAGGACAAAATCTTTTTATGCAATTATTATTTCATAGAATTCAGACTCCATTGAACTTCCTGTAATTGTTGAAAGGGCATCACGTTTTCTCAACAACAGATCCCAGCAGATCTACAGCAAACTGACTTTAGGACCAACAGCAAATATCATGGAGGAATGGATGGCTGTGAGCCATTCTTCCCCCACATATCTTCATATATGCTAACTCATTCTCCATCACTGGCTGCCTGTTCTGATGCACCCCCAAATAGTACAATTGGGGGGGCAGGGGGTAGGGACCGCAATTTAGTAGAAATTACCCCAAAAATATAGGATAAAAATTAGTTAAGAGCAAAGCCAAGCAGCCAATGAGAGGTGAGTTTGTTGGAGAATGACTCCCAGAAAGAGCAGAAAACTGCTGGAGAATATGAAATTGTAGATTGCAGGAAGCGAACGTGATTTGGGGTCTAGAACCCTCACTTTAATAACTGCATCCTTTATTTGTTCTTTTGAAAATATTTTGATCATTTATTATCTCTCCCCTCAATTCCTGACTATTATTTCACAAGTTCAGATAGATGGTTGGATGGATGGATGGATGTATAAATATAAATGACAGAGAAACATAGAGAAAATACCAGCAGGTAATTCTTTTCCCAGCAGCAATCTTTTACTTTTTTATACCCCCCACCCCTCCTTTAGCTATAAATAGTGATCCTTCTTCTCCCGTTTTCAAAAATGCCCCCACTTGGTCTATGCGTGCAAGAAACCATAAATAGTCAGTTCTTTCAAAAACACAGGCAACAACCCTATAATGAGACTTACACTCCCTTACATCTTTCCCTGGTGAAAGATTATTGCATTTCTTAAGTGCTAATGTGGTAGTGATGATGGGGAGATACTAGAAGCAATCTAGACTTATTCCTGATACTTTGGGCAGCTCCTGGTACATCAGCATACCAGCTCGTTCCTGCCCTCCTTGCCCGTTTCCTACACCTGTTAAATGTGGCCTAGCCAGAACTCTTTCTTTAGCTGTCCTGATTTCCAGCTATACTCTCAAGCAACTCTAATGGGGAGATGATGGAGGCAAGATCCAATTTCT